TGCTCCTGGCTGTGTCACTGGTGCCCACGTGAAACAGCAGCAGCAGATAATAGTCAGTGGACTGTACGAGGCTTGGTAGCCTCTCGGTGACATTCCTGATGCAAGTCCCTGGTAAGCAGCACACCTCTCTAGAGCATATCCATGCTTGCTGTTCGCAATTCTTTTTTGTCCTTCCTGTGACTGGAAATGGCTTCAAGGAATATTTGCTCTACCACCTTCCTAGGTACCAAGGTCAGCCCGGCTGACCTGTAGTTCTGTGGATCCTCTTCTTGCCCTTTTTGAAGATGGATGTGATATTTCCTTTTTCCAGGCATGAGGAGCCTCCCCCAGTTGTCCTGACCTTTCAAAGCGAGCAGCCTGGCAGTAACATCAACCAGCATCTTCAGCACCCTGGGATGCACCCTGCTTGGTCCCATGGACTCTTCTATGTCCAGCTGGTTTATGTGCCCTCTGCACTGTATCTTCCTCTGCAGTGGGTAATGCTGTGTTCCCAGAGGCTCTGCCTCTAGGCTCAGGCCAAAACCAGACCTGACCAGTCTGGGGAAGACATCAAGTACTTCATCTTTTTATATATCCCTGCTCCACTGACTGCTTGAGTCGCTCTGGATATGCTCAGAGCCTCCCTTGGCTCTGTTGTTGGTGGCTGTGTGGTTGGGTAGCAACGGGTAATACCACGAGGGTCCAGAGGAGCCTTGGCAGTCTCTCTGCAACTTCCTCAATCTCAGCCCCCAGCAAGCAACAAACCTTTGGAGTTTCACAGGTAGGGGCCTCCATCTCCAGGAGGGTATCTCTGGTGACTATCTCCCACCGCTTTCTTTTGATGTGGACACTGGGTTCAGCCTTGTCCTTCTGGATGCCACCGAGTCTGCTAACCCCCTCCTGCAGATCCTTCACCGGTGATGTGGCACCCCAACCAGTGTGCACCTCCCAGGGGTGCGAGGCTCAAGGGGATGCCCGGGACACTCCCTGCGGCTGAGACCAAATGACCATATCCTTCTTCTGGGTGGTGCAACACAGCAGTGCCAGCAGTGTGCCCTGCAGGGTATGACCACTGTTGTTGTGCCATCCGTAGCAGTCTCAAGAGGATTCAAGCAGCGTCTCCAGGGTGTCTTTGCATTGAGAGTTAAGTGCCGCAATTCATGCTGGTCGGCTGCTGAACTCCGGTGTGTCTCCCCCGTTCAGAGTCCCCCTGTGCATGTGATGCTGAATGTGCTGCCTTCACTTAAACATAACCATAACCTAAGCACCTAACTACCAATAATCATCACAGCAAAAGTACTTCTATGGCCTCACTACCCAAGGCAAAGATGTGTGTCTCCTTGAGCTCACATCCATCCCCTCCCTTTGACCTTAAGTGCAGAGTCAGTATAAAAGGCTTTTTCCTGTGGGAAGTATCCCATATATCCCCATCTGCTACTGATCATGGTAGGAAATCCTCAAAATACTCCAAGTTTTCCTCTTTTCTTCAGTACAGCTAGATGCAGTATAATAAATACCACTACATTGCCTGGAGATAACTTTCTTGGCTACTGCCAGCCCTACTGTTTGTATCTGCTTGCATGGGCATATCTCTGCAGGGTTTGTTTTTCACTGGTTCAAATCACTTGCATTTATAATTACCACAGCATTTGAGTCCTGCCAAACTCAGCTGTTCTGGAAGCCATGAGAGCAACGTTAATTCCACTTACCAATGAGTTTTGACATTGAATCAGCAATTCAGATTTACGTTTATGTGGATCCCTCGTATATAACTATAAAAATCATTGCACAAATGCATTTTACACAGACCATAATAGCCATTGCGTTTGTTCTGAACATGATTACATATTTATGACAGTCAATGATTCCTGATACCCCCCCCCCCCAATATCTATTTTGTGTTAGTCAATGGCCAGGGTAAATATCACTATTTGATTGTCCCATTTGTGTACTTTTTTCTGGGCATCCTCCATTCTAACTTAAATTTTCTGATTCACTCTCAAAAAATTGCCCACGATTGTGGAAAACAGGTTCCATATTCCAAGAGTCTGTTCCAGTCTGATACTTCATTTATTATTTCATGTTCTACCTTTGCATTTTGACTTGTTTAAAAAAATGCAAAGTGCGCAGTGTGGTGCTTGGGTCTAAATATAACCTCAGTTTGGTTAAAAAATGACCCATGTGCTATCTATGAAGACAGATATGTCTGTAGCTGAAAAGCAACCTTTTTCAGACTTCAAGCAAATTTAGGTCCAAGTCTTTTTTCTTTTAAGGATAATAGTTGAGACTATTTTTATAGTTCTCCTCTAATACCTCTACTTAGTGCTATCAGCTAAGTTTCTCCTCCAGCCTACATATTTTCCCTTAGGCTTTCTAGAAATTACCCTGGAGCCAGAACTGCAAGTGAAGCTCAGTGGTTACATACCTTTCACTCAGGGACTTCATCAATCTGCCTAAACTGCTGCCAGACAAGCATGTGTTCCTGCTGGCTGTGCGAGACCCTCACATGGAGCATGGTGTGATGGCAGGACACCAGGTTCCTCCCTGCTGTGGCCAGGTGGCCGCAAGAACTCTGCTTTCCCTCTTATAAAATGGGTTTAAATCCTTATTCACCTGTATAAGACAGTGCAATCTTAACTTGTTTTTACACAAAAAAATGACATGAATTTCTAGGGTTAAAATTTTTATGGGATGCCAGTGTGTTACATCCAAATTTCTGCTTCTTTTCTCCTTTAAAGTGAAAACAAGGCTATAAAATACTACTGACTTCTACTGTAAGTCAAACTGGCAAGTGACATTGGAGGGCTTCTCTCAGTTCATTCTCATTCCTTTTGTTCTTTCTTCCAGACTCTTATCTCTGGTCTTTTGTGTACTTATTTTTTTCATTCTCGGGTATAGGGGCCTAGCACAAGGGGCACTGTCTTTTCTCTAGTTTCTCTATATCTATATATTTCTCTATATCAAAAGTTTACTAAAATGAAAAGTTTACTAAAATGAATTGTATATGTTGTACAGAAGTAAGTGCACCAGAGAAACTTCTGTAGTGTTTGATGCGGTATGTTAAGTTTCTGTGCAATTTCAACTTTAACATTTTTTTAAGTTATTGAACTCAGTCTATCCTTCTTGCTCCTCTACTCCTTTTATTTCTATTTTCTGGTTCTACCTTTTGTTTTCTTTCACTTTCAGTGATCCACTGTGCCCTGTTGCTTTTGACATAGAGTTTCCTTTAGACAAATTTCTCTTGCCTTTCATGCATTTACTTCTTTTTCCTTTTGCACTCTTTCATTGTTTCCCTACCTTGTCCTCATCATCTCCAGCTGGATAATCCTGAGGAATGAAGCAGTGAAACTGGATGAGCTGCAACAGTGCAGAGGCCAAGTTCAAACACTTAAACTTCAGAGCAAAAAAATTTCTGAAATTAATGGCTTCTGGATTTCAAATGATAGAAGGGGAAGAACTGAGTGTATTGATCACAGCATGACCAAGAGTGACAATATGATGCAGCTATGAAAAAAGGAAATTCAATTCTAGGGTCTATTAGTAACAGAAATATGAAAGCATTTAATATTGTATGCAGGATACTGGTCTTCATTTAGTGTATTGTGTCCAATTTTGGTGACCTATGTGGAGCAAAAATGCATTTAAATTAGAATGGATGTCAGCAAAGAATAATGGTTACAAAATGTCATTGCTTGAGATACCATGTGACCTAGCAATGTCTCCAATTATACTGTCCTATACACCCAATTTCTTTGTACTCCACCTGACACGACTTAACACGGAAAGTAGCGCGGGCGTCCATTCCCTCATACATATTGATGGCAAATGTGAGAACATTTTAATTACACTTGTGATAAGCCTGAAAATTATCAGGCACAAAGATCTTGTTATATGCCTAGAAACAATGCTTTAGGGGTCAAATATTCTTGAATTTTTTAAGGATGCCTGGATACTAATACACTGTTACTACATCTAACTGCACAGTTTTAAAAAAGTCTTACTAACATATACCATTCCCTCATTTCCTTGATTGCATTGAACTGTTTTATTGTATTTTCAATAAAAGTAAAATGAGCTACAGTGAAAATTGTTTCAAACTTCCCTCTTTACTTTGAAAAAGGAAGGCAATTCTTAGAGTATCTGAGGCATGTTCCATCTCTGTAGTAAACTCAGTTGTACTGACTTTGAGCTTTACTCTTCTTTTGTCTAATGTTACCTGTTCTTTCATTAAATAAAGAATAACATAACAGTCATCATTCAAGTCCTCAAATCCTGGAGGACTGCAGTAATTGAATTCTGCAGGAGCACAGCCATCAAACACTGGGGGAATGGAGTGATCAAAACTTGGTGGAAGGCAGTCCTCACATCCTGGAGGACTGCAGTGCTCAAATTCTGGACGGATGGTGGTCTCAAAGTTTGGGGCAACACACATTTCATTAACTGAAGCAGAAGGCTTTACAGCTTTCATACCTTTGAGTATCTCATATCATGCATATATATTACAAAAGCATCAATATGAAACTGATGGCATCCTTTACAGTCTATTCCTGTTAAGAATAGTCATAATTTGATCAATGGAAGAAAGTTGACCCTTTCCTTTATCTGTGTCTGATAACCATACACACACATGCAGTTGCAAAAGTCGTACGGACTGCATCAACCCTTCTTACGACCTCAAACTGCTTGGGGTTTCTTGATGACTAGAGAGCAGTTAAGAAAGACAAATAAGGCACACAGCCAATCTAAGAAGATTTGCCATGTGCAAGATATGCAATGACTGGGCTTGTATATATTTAAAATCCCTGATTTACCGATGCTGTATATATTATTTTTGTAGATATATAAAAATGCAGTAATTTTTAACTCTCTGTGTGTGTATGTAAGGGAGGGGATAGCTCAGCACAGACTCTTTCAAGCCACCCTGCATCTATTTTTCTCTCTGCAGCTACACACGTCTATCAAAACCCCTGTAATTAGGCCATATATCACACTGTTTAGACCAAAACCACTTGAGCTCGGATGGGCTGAAAAGGAAGAAAATAAATTTCCGTCTTGAGGATCTTCAGCTGAGTCCACTGTGCCATCATAACTCAAATTTCAGGATGGTAAAAAGGTTGAGAATCACTCTTTATGGCAGCTAGAAGCCAAGACTTACGGGGGTTCAGAGATCAACTATGTTCGGACTAAAAAGGAAGAGTCCTATTAGAAGAAAAACTTGTCCATCACAGTTACTATAATTCGCTATAAATTACACTGCTTGCTCTCCTCCCTTCTATTGCTCATTCGGAGCTATCCCTATCTGCTCAGATGCTGCATTCTTTGTTCAGGATGGACAGGACAACAAGCAGAGGTTTGAATTACAGGAGAAAAGGTTGAGATGAGACATAAGGAAAACCTTTCCAATGTTCAGGATAGGGAAGCACTGGAATGGCTTGCTTGGAGATAATTATTCAGTCTCCAAAGTCAAGATATTTAGGAATGAATTAGACATATGTCTGTCAGTCATTCTGCTATGCCACTTCTCATATTCAAAACTAACACAGATAAAAAAAAACAAACCCCAAACAGACAAAGCCACACCCTCTTAAAAACTATCCAGTGTGATGGTGTGTATAAAACAAAGGGTTGGATCCTTGTTTCACTTTTCATACAGATGTTAGATGCCACAATTGAGGATGGAGTGAATTTTAAAACTAAAAATAGATTGTAATAATAGAAATACTTAGACACAACTAATGTCAAAACAAGCAACTCTGAATGATGGGAGCTGTTGTTCTACCCAAGTGGAAAAGGCACAGGCAATCAGTAATTTTTATGCCTATTTGTGGTGATCAGTATGAATGAAGTAGTTCTTGTAAATTGTTTCATGGATACTGCCTGTAACAGAGTTAGTGTGCTTGTTACTGTATGTTTACAATGGATTTAGAAGTGACTATTGAACTGATGATTTAGAAGAGGTCTTGAGAAAGTATCCAGAAGCCTCTATGATAGGACTGGATAAACAATGTGCTGCTAAATACCTAGGAGAGAGCAAAGCTGTAATGAAGCTACAGGCTTACAAAAGCAAACAAGACCATTGTGATCATATGGTCTGACTTCTTCTGCGACAGGTTATAGACCCTGACTGGATTTCACTGCTTAATTCTTAATTAAACTAAGTGATAAAGTGTCTGGTAATTTGTTACTCTAAATTTGTCTTATTTCAATTTCTAGGAACTGAATCCTTCTAAACTTTCCTCTTCACTGTGGAAAATGCCTTTGTTTTCTTTCTGCCCCCCCTCACTCCTGAGAGGTGCTTGGATGAGGAGGTAACTTCCTAATATTGTCCCAGCTCAGGTGAACAGGTTGAGCCCGTAGAATTACTAAGCATAAATTACTTTTCTCCCAATTCTTCAGTTATCCACATGGCTCTTCTGTTCAGTTTTCTAATTTTTCATTAGAAGCAGAGGTAGTGTTCCTCTAGTGACCTTGCCAATGCCAGGTAATCTCCTTACACCACTCTAGTTATTTTTAACCAAGTTCTCTATTTTCTACTCCGAATTTTTTCTAGGATCTGAGTCAAGCCAATGCACATATAATGGCCTTATTGTGCACGTAGTCATTTAAGTTATTGGCAGTTATCTAGCTACTCCATGTCCTATTGAAAATGAACTTCCCACTCAGCTTCACCAGCTTAACAGTTAGCACCTACTTTAAACTGGTTATCTAGCCTTACATCAAGGAGCAACTGATTCCACCAGTATGGGATGAAACCATGGTGTTGTGGCTGGATGGATTGATGGATGGATGGACGGATGGATGGATGGATGGATGGATAGATGGATGGATGAATCAGTCCACTGATTACAGAAGGAATCCTGGATTCCCGCTTTAAGGACTACAGGACGAAGGAGTGCTCCTCTCTCTCAATGCTGAATGTACATCTCAGTTATGAGAAGCTCCCTGTTCACCAGCCAGCATGTTAAATGCTTTGTGGCAAATTATTTAGACCGGTTGATTTAAAACAACTTCAATATCTGTCTTCTGATTGACTGGTGGAAGGTAAAGTGTTTTTAATATCTGGTTTTACCCCAATAGTGAATGGAATAATTTTTTTGGAAACTTTTGCCTTTTTTGTGTTGTTATTTTTGGTTTAAGTTCAAGTCATACGCTATCATGTAATAGATGCATAGCATTATTAGGGGGGCTTATCTCCAGTGCACTCTACAGGCCCTACTTGGAATTTAATCTTCCTGCCACAGATTACCATTTTGCTTCCTGTTTTTAAATAATTCTAATCTTCTGATTTATTTTTACTAACATCAACATTTTCTAATATTTTATCCTTTTAAAATTGCTTTAGAGTTGTGTTCTCCTAGTCCTCAGGTTGTTTGAAGCTCAGGGACAGGACTCTTCTATTGTCTGGAAATGTACTCCCACCTTCATACTGGGATTTAGGGTACTTCATAAAGCGTTCTTTAAGTGTTCTGGGCTGTCCCTCATTTTCTCCAAGTTTAAGTCTTTCTCCCAGCTCATCTGGGAGAAATATAAGTTATAATTTTTTCCACCTCTATGGAACTGCCTCTAGGAGGACAGGCATGTTCTCAGAAGATGGGAAACCGGCAAAGTGTCTATCTTTGAAGACTGTAGGAAAGAGGAAGCTGTGAAACTATTGTTGCTCCATGTTTACTTTCCAGAGAAACAACATATCCCCTTATTATCTTGTAGGAGCTTACATACTGTTTTGATTAAGAGACATTACTTTTTTGACATGTCCTTCTACTCTCTTCCTATGCATGACTAGATACAGGGTTTACAGACATGTAAACCATGAGATTTCCTATTTGTATTCACTATAAAGCCTCTATTGTCTTAGGTTTTGTTCTATTTGTACATTCAGGAACAAATTGGCTTTAATGTTACAATCAAGACATCTAAGAGGTGAAGTTTTTTTTTTTAATAGGGTATGAATTATGAGATATTTGATCTGTGTCTGGTGGAGGCTGATGGTGGATTAATTTCAGAAATCCTTTGGGCAACAATAATCCTTCTGGTGATGATGGCAATGTGATAAATAAGAACAATAGTTGACTTATATCTGATGGTAAAACCAAAATAAAATCACTCTGTGGCTTTTCCTGCTGATTAAGTGACTTGCTTGAAAGTCAGAGGACAGAGAGTTTCCACAGTGAAGGTAAGGGAACTGGAAGAAATGCTGAGCGCTATATGATACCTATTTGCAATGGATGGAAAGCAAAGTGAGTAATACGAGATGTGGTGTTGACAGAGGTTCCTACTGTGAAGTACACGCATAGAAGATAGGGTACAGCTGTGGTGATCAGACGTGGTGATCAATCCAGGATCAGTCTTCCCCGCTGCTGGCAGTCTGGCTGCCTGTGCTCAAGGCCAGCTCT